GCTGCAACAGTCTGCTTTCTGCACAAAGCCAGGACTGTGTGTGGAAACTTGGCACTTGCTATTCATCTGTTTGCTCAGCAGCTGAGCTGGCATTCACCAGCTACATGTGTTGGGTTTGTAAATAGACAGAATGCAGTAGCATTTTCTTAGGCATGTTCGATATTTGGCTCTTCCCGTTGGGTTCAGGAGCTCTGCGAACTGTCAGCTTGAATCCCTCCCAAAACTGGAATAACAGAAGTTTACAGTTTTCCAGCACTGTGTGTTGAATACCATCCTTAGATTCCTCCCAAGCCATCACAGCAAATAACAAGTAAATAGCATGTGTTGAGTGTGTCCCCTGAAATCTAAATGGTTCCAAATAACCAACTGTTATTTCAGCATGGTCAGGATAGCCATGTTTGGAGGGGAATGTTGTAATTACATACATGCACACACACAGAAACTTCAAAGGGGCGAGGCTTTCCTCAACTTTCAGAGGACTAATATTTGAAACTTCACATAAAAATGCAAACATTTCAACTGGTAAGTTGGGAACTTGCAATATCTTCTAGATTTGGGGCTACAAACCCAACTCTCTCAGCAAAATCTGATACTTGGACCTCGATGTAGCTTACTTATCTAACCAAACCATTGCTTATGTAGGGAGCCTGGCGAGACCAAGGTGACACAGGTTTGTGATCTGAACATCCTGCAGTTTGGCATCACTGTTCTGGTTTGCAGCTAGAACTACTGTCTTACAACATGACTGCCTAGCAGGTAATGTAGCATTCCTCATCACCTGCATTTTATCAAACACAAATAGGGATAATAGTTCCTACAGTTAGTGTTATAAAGTATCAGTTATTGCCTGTGTGCTACTGAGAAAAAAGGATTTTCCTGCCATTGCTATACTATTGATTGATTGGCTATAGGGTCCAAGGTTGTTCTTAAAGTCTATTTTTTGGTATTTATTTAAAGAGATTTATAAATAAATTGTGTGAATTTGGTGTCAGGATGTTGGCAGGTCTGCCAACCACTGAAAAGCTGTAAGAGTTGACAGGAGTGAATGAATGAATGCTAAATGGTTGCATCTGAAAGTAAAAGTGATTTTACTCCAGTCACATTCTGTGACTGGAGTAAAAGGTTTTACAGAAATCTTGGTGTTTATAATAACAGCATCTCTGCCCTTATCTCAGACTGATTAACCTGAGAGAGATGCATTTCAGTCTCACCCATTTAGGACAACCAGAGTCTGCATGTGCTGTGTGTATTTACAGGCTTAGGAAATGGACATTAAAATGTGGGAGTTGAGGCTTTCTTACACCAGAATTAAGGGAATCTCTTCTTTAGTTCAGTGGTAATAGAGTTTAATATTAGGTAATTTATAGCACATAAATTACCTACTTACCTGTTAATCAGTCATGGTTAATGAATTAGCTTGAATGTATTTGATTTTAAACTTAAATTTTTCTCATACTTTGTGAAAGACAGACAGCTATGTAAGATAATTTTGGACAATCTTTGGAGACAACTTTGGCAAGAAAATTTACAGCCCTGTTAGAGCATCTCAGGTGAACAGTGCAGCTATGTGTGGGTCTCTGTACAAGCTGTTTGCAGTCCTTGCCTCCTCTCCCTTTGTCTGCACCCTGCTCCTCCTTCCTTCTCATTTCATGAAGCAAAGACATACTCTTGGGATGAGCCTGTCCTTCACAAACAGCACTGGATGTATTTTTTCACATTGTGAACATTTTCTGGTACAACCCAAATCTACTGGTGAAGCGATAGCAGCTAGCAGCCAGCTAGCATTTAAAGCTCTGTCTGGGCACTCTGTTTCTGAGTTTAGGAAGCTGTAGTATCTATATACATACATATATATATATGTAGCTGTTAGACACTGTAATGTCACAGCTTTCAAATGCAGCTGGACAATCAACTTTTCAACCAAAAGATTATATACTAATGGCCTTTCAGTGACACCGGGGTGACCCGGGTGTGTTTGCTCCAGGTGCTGGCAGCACAGACTGGAGTGCAGGGCCCTCCCCACAGCGCCGGGCAGAGGCAGAGCTGCGGTGGCTGCGGGCAGTGCTGGCGGGGATGCTCAGCACGGCCCCTAAAGCCACGCCCGGCTCCGTGGGGCTGCTGGCCTGAGGAGCAGGCACTGCCACACCCACAGGGCCGGGAGCCACGGGATTCTCCTGCAGAATTCACCTCCTTTAGACTGCTTGGCTTGAGCACTCTGCTCCATAAACACACACACCACCCCCACCTATATAACTGGACAAACTTATTTTTAAAGTATATAAGAATATTTTTTTAGCTAGATTTGTTTTGTTAAAGCCGCACTAACTACTGTATTTTTACTTTTTATATGTAAAGCTTGGCAATAGCTCTCAATGTATAATTTATTTGTTGGGTTTTTTATAAAACGAAGTGCACCCTCTTGCTTCTGTTTCACAACACTGGTGACATATGAACTGTCTTAGGCACTGCACTGAGATCTGTATTGAAACTGTACATGGGAACAAGTAGATCTGTAGTCCACTCAACCCAGTGTTGGAATGTTTGTACTGTAGTTTTGTCTTAAATACACCATGTCAGTGCAAAAGTCTTGCAGAGTCATCTTTGGGCCCGCTGTGTTCCATGGCACAGCACTCAGAGGTGGGTTAGCTGGGGCTTGGGACACTGGGTTGCTGCTCTAAGCTTAGCCTGTTGTCAGTTAAAGTGTAACTTAGGACAGCACCAGAGCTTGCAGGTAGATGCTAAAGAATTCAATGCCTTTTTCCCAACAGAGCTGAGAGTGTCCAGGAGGACTGTCAGGTGTGCAGTGCCAGAAGGGGAGCCCGAGGTGCCCGGTGTGGTTCCAGCGCAGGCCAGTTCACCAAGCACCCTCACTCCTGTCTCCAGCCAGGGACTGGGCTGTGCTCTGAAGTGCAGCAGCACTAATGATTGATTGTTTAAACTTTGGCTAAATGCTAAAGATGGTAGCAAAGGGCAACTAAACCCTTTGATCATCTTTGTTTCTCAAAAGCTATTTGGAAAGTATCAAAGGAAGAGAAATTACTCCATCCTAATGACTAAGCTCATAGGAGATAATTTCTCTTGTGGCATAATTTGTTGTGTAGGTCAAACTGTGATCCCACTGATAAATCACTGAATTGTTCTTCAAATCCACTTACAACTCAAAACAATGAAACAGGTGTTTCTGTTAGTAAAAACCTTCTTTGAGCACACACTGCACAGTGAATATCTGCATTTTAGAAGATAATATTTCTGCCATTCATACATTTTAATGTTCAGAAACCAAATGTCAGTTAAAACAATGAGCTTGTTGAGATGTTTAGTGCTGATCAATTTCTTCCCGTATATAAAATTTATGATACAACAGCACATCTTACGTCAGATGAGGTTGCCAAGAATTCTGCATCCTTTTGCATTTGTTCTATGGACTGCATTTCTGTGAGCATATCAGATATGTGCAAGGTTCCCTGCTCTTCATAGACATTCTAAACAGCCAACTTCAGTGGCAGCCCCTTCAGTCCCAGCCAAAAATGGGGTGTTGTGTTTTGTTTCTAAATATTTGCCACTAGCTGAAGTAATTCCATTCATTATTTCATGCAGGCCACCACCGAGCTTTCAGATGGCAGCAGCTTTTAGTCACTCGCTTGGGCCTGGGATGAATTCTTATTAACTGCTACAGTTATGGAGAAATATCATAAGCATATCCACAAAGGCTCTTTTCTGCCTCTCTGAAAAGGTGCCTGCAGTGGGAAAAGAGGAGTGAGGTGCTCTGAGAACCCTTTTGGTGGAGCTGATAGCGCTGGCTGAGGTTTGAAGGGGATATGATCAGGAAGTCTCACAGTGGTGCGAGCAAAGATTGTGTCCCTAGGTCTGGACACTGAAGGGTACCTGAAATATGGTTTGTGCATGGCCAGAGTGGACTGAGCTGTCAGGCACTCCTGTGGGCATTTGTGGGACGCAGTCACTTCATTTCCCAACGCACCCCTCTTCCAGCTTGAGCTCACCCTTGTTTTCTGAAGACCTGGGATTGGACCACAGGGGGAAAAAGATCCTCCAGTGGCTTCAGCTAAGCTGCTGTAGCACAGAGCCCCACTTCAGGATCAAGGCTCTCTTTCCTTGCACAGCCTGGCTGGGCCCAGCTCCAGCTCAGCCTCCCAGCCCTGAGCTCCCATCCCTGCAGCCAGGCCTTTCCTGAGCCCCTGCCCTCCTGGTGTCCTGTCCGGGGCAGGGAACAGCGGGGCCCTTAGGGCTGGCTCAAGGTTTGGCACCCCTTAGTGATGGAGTGGGTGTGGTGCTGCCACTGCTGTGCCCCCACCTGACCTGGCACACGGGCAGAGCCCAGGGGAGCCAACAGGGAGATGGGCTCACTGCAAGCTGCTTTTCCTGCCCGTGCCAAGCCATTGCCTTTGGGCTGGCTTCTGTCCCGCCTGCGTTGGCTCCGAGTAAATGTTAAACCCTTCGTGGGGCTGCCAAAGGAAGAGAGTTTGAGGGGGCAGGAAGAAAGGAATGGCAGAGGCTGGATGCCATTTTCCTGGGCTCTTGCACATCCCCAGGATACCGCTACCTGCCAGGAGGCCTTCGCGTGACTTGGAACAATCACTGGCTTATTGTTGCCCTTTCCAGTTAAATTTCCTTCCCTTGTCAATCCTAGATAAAAGGCTGTATGTTACGGCAGCTCTCAGGATAAAGCCAAAACAGACTTGTCAGTCAGCACCAGGAAAACAAGCTGCTGATTTAACACTGCAGTGCTGAGTACATGCTCAGCTCAGGCGCTGTATTGATGTCCCTTCCAAACAAACCTCCTCAAACTGGGAAATTCTTGTTCTTGGAGGAGAAATTCAAAGCCCTTGAAGCCGGCTGAAGTGCAGGGAGATGACTGGGGCTTGCACAATCGTGTTCCTTGGTCAGAAAGGTAAGTTCCTTGTTCAGTTAGAAAATACAAACACATATTTTAGACTCATAAAGGTGAACATGAGCACACAGTGATAAGAAACAGAGCAGGCTTTATTCACGTGGCAGTGTACATCCTCTCTGTTTCCAGGTAAGGGTCATGGATGGTGCAAATAACTCTTAAGTAGCTTTTGCAAATCCATCTATAATTTTCCTATTGAATTCACATGACAGTTACTTGTGAAGAGATGATGAAAGTATCTCTAAATATTCTTGAAATCTGTAAATTACTTGTAAGTCATTATTCCTATGAAACTTTTGGAAAGTATTTGAACTTTTCAAATACTTGGAAGTATTAACTTTCAAGTAATTTCAGACACCAGCAGCTCTTACAGACAGCTGCTGTTCTGTCAGAAGGTGGGTATTTAGTAACGTCTTTGGAATTAAATGCTTTGAACACTGGACAAGATTACCTTGCAAAACAAGCACTTTTTCTTTTCAGCAAAGAAAAGCCATATATGAACTCAGAACTTAGTGCAACAGGGAGGAAATGTGTAACAAGTACTATGTAGGGTGATAAAAGAGTTGGAAAAGCAGAAATCTCTTTAGGACTAAAACATGAGTTACCAGTGCAAACAGCCCATGCTTTGTGCCACTCTGTCAAGCCTTCCTTTTTCTGTTCCCTTCCCACCCCACTGTGGGAAATCACATCCTTTTGATTCTGTGTTCAGCCATTAAAGCCAACACTCATTTGGCACACCCTTTGTTCTCACAGGTATAATGCGCTTCCTCTGGTCCTTGTTGATGATTTCCAGGGGGCACTCATTGTTTCACTTCCTCAAGGTTATATACAATCCTTGAATATCTTCTAGAATTCAGTTGCTGATTTGTTTGTTGGGTTCCATTATCATAGGCCTTTTCATGTTGCAAATACATTCTGCAAAGGACACTCAAGAATATAAAATCTTAGAGAACATTCATGTTAAGACTAATTGAAACTCTCAAATGTGACTGTATTTCTCTCTTATGCCAGTGCAAAATGAGCAAGCTTTGTCCCTGAAATGGCATCTTGTGGAGCCAGCATGGGTTACTGCAGTTCTGATTTTCAAGGCAGCCTCAGCCATTGCCAATTTGAAATGGTATGAAGTGACCAGGAGAAAAGTAACGAAAAGAGCAGCATTCCAACAAGCTCCTCTCAGAAATCACAACTTACATGCAAGTTGTGACTTAAATATATGTCAGGTTTTGTTAACATTGTAAAAAATCTGTTCACAGCAAGTATGAGAAGGTTTAATTATTTTTTTCCCCAGCGTGCTGATAGGAAGCTGAAGACAGTTGCAAGCAGTTGGTTTTCCACCTACTGCCACGGTGGTGGAAATTTATTCCTTCACTTTGCAAGCAAAGCAATCACAAGCAATCAAACTCCATTTGCCTGAAGGAGATCTCAGAGAAGCTGGACAAGGGCTTGCCCCCAATGAGCAGCAGTGTGTTGGTCCTGCTGATCCCACCCCCCGTGGCCACACACCCCCAGTCAGGTCTCTCCTCTTCACCCACACCCTGAGCAGCAGCAAAAGCCTCTCCTGAACAGGCCAACACTGGGAGAGCCTTGTCCTTGGACAAACAGCTCCTGTCTCTCTTTGGGCCTAGTCCTGTCTCTGAAGTGGTCTGGGAGGCAGGGAATTCTGCTGGCTGCAGGGGCAGGCTGAAGGTTTTCATTTCGATGGCGTTGCTCCGCTCCGCGGGCTGTGGGCAGAAGAAGCTGCAAAAGCCAGAGTGCCTCAGGATGGGCACCAGCTGGGGATCTTCCTTCTGCTCACTCTTGCAGTGGCTGGGGAACGTATCAGTGAAATCTGAAGTAGTTTGGAAGTCCACACCAATTCCTAAGATGCAGTGATACATTTTAGGAGAAAAGCTTCCCTTTGTAGTACTGCTAAGCTTCTTCCATGTCTGCGTGTGGAAATGATACTTCCAGAGGTCATCGTTAGGGCTGGAATTTGAAATCCCTCCACCAAAAATCAGCATAGAGTCTTTGCAGACTACTGAAGCGTGACCTACCACTGGAGGAGGTCCTTGGCTGAAGGTAAGAGAAACCAGCAGTTAAGGGGAGACCAAAAAGAAACTTAGCACTGATTTTAGCTTCTGTTTTCCTTTTGACTCAGAAGGATGACTGCTGAACAGCTGCATTGGGACATCAAAATTACACTGCTGACAGCTGCATCAACGCCTTGCCAACAGCTCTCCCGAGCAAAGCCAACTGGAGCCCCAGGCATGGCAGCAGCACTGCATCCTGACTGAACAATCCCCGCAATTACCAACAGGGCATCGGCTCCCTCTCCGCCCGCACACAGAATCAGAGTAAGATCAATTCTCTTTCTCTGCTCTTTTAGTGTAACAAATACAACAGTTTACCTTGTTCTGATGCTGGACCAGCTGCTGCTTCCAAAGTCCCACCTCCACAAGTCCCTCTGTTCAGTGAGCCCCACCAGCCCCCCAAAGAGGTACATGGCTGTGTGATAAACCACTGCCGAGTGGCCGTGCCGCGCTCCGGGACCGCTGCTGTGACAGGGGCTGGAGACACACAGCCACTTCCTGGTATCTGAAACAAAAACACTGATTTATAGATGGATCAAATTTACCCTATTTGAGAAAGGATTTGCTTCCTGGAGGAGGCAGCTATTCAGTTGGAGAATAAGGGTTTCTGCTCTAAGCTTATTATGAGTTAACATATTAAATTCTGACACTGAAAAAGTGAATTTTAAAAAATCAGTTTTGAAATAAACTTTTAATGAAAATGTCAGATGCTGTGTGACAGATGCCATGGAAATTTTATTTACAGAGCAGCTTTGTCAGTTCATTGACTCTGATACAGAAAGATACTTTCCTGGCTGTTAGAGGGAAAAAATCAGTCAACAAAAACATTAATTTGTTAATGTCTATGCTTATTCTCCCTGTGAGGGAAGGAAGGATGAGATAAAGCCATCATTTGTTTCAAAATAGTGACAGAATGGCCATCAGATAAGAAGTTATGCATTTAGGAAATCTCTGGGAATCATCTCATTTGCAATAATCAGACTGGTCATGAATATGCTAATAAAATATCTCCTTCAGGTTTGACTCTCTGTGGTCAGTTGGAGATTTGAGATCAAAAGATGACATTAATAGGCTGAAATCAGGGTCCCTGCTGGATCTGAAAGTTTTAAGTAATCCTTGAAGAATTTTAGTGGGTAGTAAACAAATATTCTCCCTGATTTTCAGCTGTGAAACTGGCAAATACTGCAAAATGTATTCCAGTTTAATAGTCTAATTAATTTCAGCTAGCAATTAATTGAATTTGAAACAATTTATCACTAAATGTTGTCAAAGAGAAGCCAAAACTAACTTGGAGCATTTCTACTGACAAGAATTTTCTTAGCAGAGCAAGCTTTCCTGCTGCAGTTGTTGTTTTACACTGGATCAAAACCTTATCCTGCTTTTTAACTTACCAAAATGGAATTCCCAAAACTCCTGAGAAATGCCTTTGATGCCAAAGTATCCCCCATAGATGTACATGCTGGAATGGTACACGACTGCACTGTGACCTTTTCTGTTAGCTGGTGCAGAGCTCTAGAACAGTTCAAAAATAAAAACCTCTAAAGTCATATCAGCAGCAATGTCTGTCTGGGAAATACACCTTTTTTTTCCCCACAAATGACCCTGAAGTCCTAAACTTTCTCTTACTCCTCCATCAAGCAAAGGTAACCAGAGTGGTAACTGTGTCACATCTTAAAAGAAAATTTTGGGTGGAATTTCAAGGTATAGAAGCATTGTGATGATGAAGTTTCAGTAGCAAAAAATGAGTGATTCCTACTGTGTAGTGATACAAAATCAATCTCAAAAGACCAAGTCACAAATGCTTCCACTCATGTTTCAATTAGAAGTGGCAGTAACTTGGTGAGTCCACGTGTTCACACTGAAGAATTGAAAAATGCTGCAGCACTTCACGTTCCAAAATGTATTAGCGTGGCTGCCAATCTGTTTTCACAACCCTACTTTTAAAAGCACAGGCTTCACGTATGGTTGCAATATTCCATTTAAAATTAGTTTTCTTGATAGGGATTTCAGAGAAACAGAAGCAGCAGCAGAGGAGAGGACTTAACTTCTTATATAGGACTTAAAATTTAAGAGCAGTATTTTTAAACACTGTTTTGAAGAAGGAAAAAGCCTTAAGTTATTGAAAGTGCAAAGAAATAAAGTACAGCCACATGTCTCTGAAGAGATGAGATTGGAACTGTTTGGGGGAACATATTTCAAAGCAATCTGTTTAATCAACAAAGCAACAGGCATTTGATTCACACATTCCCCACTTCCTGGCTCCTTACCTCCGTCTCTGCTGGTTCGTTGCAGCTCTCTGTCCATCTTGCGGAATCTGGGGATTGAGTTAATAAAGCGCAGTTCAGGTCCCGCACCACAAGAGGACACTCCTCCCACAGTAACTGCTCAAATGGCACGGCTCACTCTCAAGGAAGTCTCGTCCTGGTGTTTTCTACTGACAAGGCTGAAGAAATCCCGCTAGGATAGCAGCCCTGAGAGACTTCAGGGGACAGTTTGAACAGTTTTCCTCTATCCTTATCTGATACAGGATCACACAGGTGCCACACTGTACTCCTGTTTCCTGAAGCTGAATTTCATAATGCAGAAGTAACCTGGGATTATCATTTTCTGAACATGTAGGAATCCCAGATTTCCCTATGGATGTATGACTCCTTCTGCTTGCCACACACACCTTATTATGGCAGACTTATTCCTTCTTGTTCTTTTTCAAAGGTCCCTTAAATAGCCCTCAAATAACAGCCAGCAATCACAGATCTGGGATCACCGTGAAGGAGAGGAAATATCTGATAACACAGCACAGAGATACAATGAGCAATCAGTGCAGGCTTGCATTACTTAAAGCTATTCTTGCCAAAAGATTTTAAATAATAACTGAAACAGCTAGACACACAACCAATGGTGAATAACTCATTTCCAATTTCCACTGGTAAGTACTGTGAGTAATAAGATGCTTTCTTCTTTAAAACATGTTCTGAGGCTTTTCTTTCTTCCAGCAGGTTATCTCAGACACAAAGGAAGGGGTGTAAAACACAAAGGAAGGGTTGAAAAAACCCCATTGACTTAAAGTTACATAGTGAAGTAGCAAAAGAAGCCAGGAAACTTAAATCTTGGTCTGGACACAAGATTTACTGGCTCAAAAAGAACAGAGCCTCTCTCTCTCTCTCCTCCCAGTCTGACATCAAAATAACAGCTATTACTGTACACAGGACTTCCAAAGGGTGAATCCATGGTGTATGACATTGCTATTAAATTCAAATGCTGCACTGTTTTTATTAGAATACACACTTAAGAGATCCCAAATGTTTGTTCTTAGGAGAAAAAAAAGAAATTCATGTTATAAAATGTTGATGTTAATTTCCCATCTTATTTAATATTTGATTTCTCTTGCTCTAGCTTATGTTTTTCTTCAGTAAAAGTATAAATGAGATATATTTTATTGATCTACTTTCTTTCATAAGAGCTTGGTTTTAAAACATATGTGGCATTAAAAATAAAAATTAAATAATACATTAATTACCAGGTCTTATGATCAAATACTAAATGTAAAAAGGAGAGAGGGAGGAATGGAAATTCTGAGACCTTAAAATACATACAATTTTTCCATAAAATCCTCTCTAATTGAAGTAAGACCTGCATCTCTGATAGCTGAACAGCCTAATTTTGAGGGGAAAATATGCACACAGTTTTACACACATTACTTGTTGTAAAGTTTAAGGAAGGCTCTGTTACAAGCAGCAGAAAACAGTTTGGTTCTCATTATTTATTACTGCCTGTGGAATATCCCATGGAAAATACTGGCTATTGTGTATCATACCAATGTCATATATCCAGAGAGGAGTTTTTGCTTGTGTGAAAGCAGAATCCACCATCCCACCAAAAATATACAGGCTGCCCTGCAAAATGCACAAATATTTGTCACTTACAGGAAGGCACATAGCATGCAAATAATTTTAAAAACAATTCTTAAATGCAAAGGTTGCTATCAGCAAAATGTAGTTAACAATATGATGATCTTATAACAATCCCAAAAAGCCACTGATTTTAATTATTCTCTCTTTATTCTCTCCCAGTGGGAAGCCCTGAAGAACACTGTGCTGTTTAATGGGAACAGTATTTCAGAACTGCTCGTTTCTTGTCAGCCTGGGGCAGCTTCAGGGCTGGGAATCTGGAGCTCTCTTCAGGCATTGCTCAGGTGTATTGGATTATGCATGTTTAGAGGAATGTTTCCTTGTGTGGTAGCTCTTGATATCCTAAATTCTGTCTTCCCCTCACAGGCAGGGCTGTAATTCTTACTGTGCTTTACTCCCCCGTCCCTCTTCTACGCGAGTTCTGTAGTGAATATTTTTGTGCCGCGGCTGATCATGCAAATGAATTCACAGCAACTGTTACAACTGCACAGATAAGTCAGAGAAAGTGCTGCCAGGGTCTTTATCTGGTATTACTGCTGCTTATTGAGCACTGACTGAGGAAACCAGGGGGCTGCTGCAGAGCTGAATTACTGCCACTGTTCAGAAGGATTTCCAAACATAGGTACAGCTACATCCAGAGCTGCATCAACACAAAAATGCTTTCTGGGCACAGCATTTCAGTACATAATACCTATGGCATTTTATTGCACTGTATAGGAGGAAATAAAATGTCAGGATATGGACAATATAATCTGGTCTAGTACCTTATAAGCCACCATTGAATGTTCTTCCAGTTCTTCTGGACCGTCTCTTGAGCAATCCAACATTTCCCATTCATTTTTCACTATAAACCAAAGCTGAAGTTATGACAGTGGTGCACTCAACACATTAACAGTAGGGAAAAGGTGAAAAGGTGGGCTTTGAATGTGGCTGTGCTGCTTAAAATGAAGCATTTTGTCATCTTTCTTCTGTTAAAAATGAAATATATGAATTTTTCTATTTAGCAAATTTAAATATAACAGTAATAGTTACATTTAAATACAATAATTGTTACTGCTTGTGTTTTAATTGTTACCTACATCAAATTTGGACAATTCCATGAGCACAAACCCCAGCACAATTTTGTTTTATTCCAGTAACAAGTGAACAGGGAAAACTATATATCAAGTAAAAAAATACCAAGGCTTATATTTGATAGTGCATTGATACTACAAACCTACAAGGTATTGTATTCACGTGTTCCCTTGTGCACTTTTATATGCACGAACTATTGCTGTGTTAGAGAGTCAGGGAAGCTCATTGATATCTCTTGCTAGAACCAGGATACTTTAAATGACTCAGTATTTCTGCTCGAGGGGAAAAAACCCCAAAAACAAAAGGAACTGAACTGAAATCAAAACTTTGTGGACACTTGCAAGAGGAGCAAACACCCCCCATCTGCCCAATGAACAAAAAGCAGTTTATCCAGCCCTGTGACAGAAAGACCTTAAACGAGGATAATCTGTTAAGCACAGAGCAGCCTCAGTTTCACGATGACTGAGGTGGAATGGCTTTAACCCTGGCACACAAGAGAAGGGGCCAGCTCACCTGTGTGGTATCTCCAGAAGTCCCTCAGCGTGGTGCAGCCGTGCCCTCCGTAGAGATAAACAAAGCCTCTGCACACAGCACAGGCGTGCTTGTAGCGGTCACAGGGACGCGGCTGCTGCGCCTCGGCCGCTCCGCCGGCAGCTCTTCCCTTCATGCTGATACCCGGGATCCTATCCAAGGATCAGCCTGCAAAGGGCTGCCATGCCAGAGGAGGGTCCCAAAATATCAGGGACAGGGCTAAACCCTGTTTAGTCTGCAAAAAGACAAAAAAGGAAAAAAGGCAAATCTCCACTTTATGATAAAACGTTACTGTGTTTTCTTTTCAATCCCCTCGAAAGCAACAGTGGACAATTTGTCCATCTGTGATAGTACACTAACTTGAGTAAAGCACCAGAAATTCTGACTCAGATTCTTGTACCAGTGAGGCTGGGACAGGAACATTCCTGGAGCTGAAAGTTTTCCAAGGAATGTTTACAATACCAGGACTTGACGTTTTTTCACAACTAAAAGAGTACTTTAGACAAACCTGTACTAAAAAGAACTTTGGAAAGAGTGAATATTACAGATGGAAGTAATGCATTAGCAGTTGTCCAGAATTTGTTTAGACTTTTACCTGTAAAACTGCTGAAATGAGGATGCATCTGGAAAAAAATGACACCAGCCCTTCCCATGCCACAAGATGTCACTGTGTTCTGTGAAGACATAACTACCAGGAAAACATTCTTCTATTAACCCTCTTCAAAACAGTGGCTTATTTTAACATAGATTATTTTGCAAAGCACACCCAAAAAGCCCCCAGCATAAGACCAGATTTTGGAATTTGTGTTGATAATGTGTCTGAGGTGGCACATCACCAAATGAAGTGACAGTCTCCCAATTCCAAGACTTTTCAGTGGGAGCCAGATTCCAGCTGCAGTGAGAACCCAGGATGGGAAATCAATAGGAAAGAGTGATTTACCTAAGAGTAATGTGTAAATCCAGGGCAAGCTGCACTCAACTTGAGGAAGAACAAAGATTACAGTAAAGCAAGCTAGATACAAAAGCTAGTTATATTTCATATTAATATGAAATCATTGTACCTAATTTATCAGCTGATTAATCTCTAAAAGTTACCCTTTTTAGAACTGGAATATATTCAGTGACAAAGAGATGCTAGAGAATCTCTTGCAGCATATTCAGGCAAGATTAACTACTTCAATTTTGTTGGGATTTTTTTTTTTATGCAAACCAGTATTGTAAGCTATTACTGTAGAAACTGAAGCATATTCTTTGTATGTTTTCTCTGAAGGAACACAAAGATGGGTGGCAGTTACTAAGGGTGCATTTCTCATGTCCAGGGGAATTAGCAGATATGAAGTAATGACACATTATAGGTAAGTCCCTAATGCTTTCTGGCATCCCATTGAAAAGGGAAAAGCAGCTGAAGGCATGAAACAGGGATTATCTCCCTAACCCTGCCAAGCTTCTGAGCAACCACAGCCAAATCATTCACTTCCACGACTAAATGGGGACAGTCACTTCCTTAGGACAACACTTCAAATGTGCTGATGCAGTGCAGTGTGACAGTGCCAAGGTATTACTGCTATTGATATCATTAACTCTGAAAAGGTGATAGGTTACCAATACTTTACATAGGTAAACAGGCTTGTCCCCTTGCTGTTTGTGGTTTCTTTCTCAGTTATAAAGCTGGTTATTCTTCTTCCTACATATTTCTCCTTGTTTTTCTTCCTCCAAGCCTTGCCTCCTGTTGTACAAGCATTCAGAGATGATGACAGCCCTGATTTCATAGAACAGATTAGCAACAAAGTCCTGTCCAATTGTTTATCTAGCCCAGCTGAACTCTTGCAAGGCAGGTGAGCAGGATGGGATAACAAAAGGCCAAGTGGGGATGAACTCAATGGGTGTCAGCTCCCAGTCACACCTTTTCAGCATTGGCTGGCCCTTGTGAATCTTGGCTATTTACTCTCAGCTGAAGCATTCTTGGAAGCAGACCTCCAGTCCCTAACAATCAGTTAACTGCTCCACTTCAGAGCTGTGAAAAAACCCCACCAAGTTAATAATGAATCTTGCCTTTCATCATTGGTATTTTAAACTGCAAACCTGACTCCCTGTCAAGTTTGTCCTGTCCCTGATTGCCTGTCTACAGAACTCAACCCACCAGAGTTCATCTACTGTCAACCTGAGCAGTCCCATTTCCAAAGAAAAGCTGCTCCTCTTCTGTGAACAATATCACCGAGCCTTGTCCTCTGTGTCCTGCACCACTGACCTCAGTTTCAACTTGACACAATATCAGTTATCCAATAGGAAGCTCTGACTTCAGAAAAAACATCCAAAAAGACAACTCTGAACATTTTTATTCAACTTTTTTTTTTCCCCCAAAACAGCTGTAGCACACACAAAAATGTCTGCTGCTCTCCAAAGTCTTCTGCCATTCCATTCTAAAAATAGCTTCTGTGCAATCAATCCCAATTGTTGAAGGGCTGGAGGAGCTGAGTGGAGGGCCCGGAGAGCTGCAATTAGTGCAGTAACTATAGCACTGAGTGTGTATCAATTAATGGTGCCCCACTACTGTTTCATAATACAAATAATTCAGGAAATGTAGCAAGACAGGAATTACATCAGGAAATGTAGTTTATATGTTCATTATATAATTATTTATATTTCTGATAGATGTGGTTTCTCAGACAAATGATTTATTTATTTAAAGTATTGCCTAAATAGATCTTCAGTAAAGCTTTTTTCTATCTCAGCCCCTTGATTCATTTCCATCTGTTTTCAATACACTCAGAAAAGTTTCATTTTTAAAATGATCAAGCTTTTTGGAATATAATGAGATATGAAACCACTCGTATGGGGAGGGGCCCAAGTAGGAAACCTTGTTCTGTTTTGGGGCTTTTTTGTTAATGACCCAGTTTTCTGAACTCCAGCCTTGAGCCTTTCCAGGCAGAACACTGCATTTTCTCACTAGGCAACTTGATGTTTTACTGCTTTTCAAAAATAATAACAGATCTTCCCATTTGTACTTATCCCAGAAACCTTGGCTCTGGAGGTGGTTTTATTGTAAGTCTTGTTCTAACGGGACTGCCTGCATGAATGAGGAAACTCTGGAGACTTGCAAGGCCCTTACAAAGTTTTAGAAACAAACCCAACTTGTTTAGAATAGAGGAAAAGGCTTTTTTCAGTATATCATGTTTACTTGCAATGCTTCACTATGTGTGGTAAATCTAGTATCCTCTGGTTTACTATTTTATTTTTTCCTAAACTCAAGATAACCTGAACTGTTTCTGTGGTGAGGTTTTTCTGTTTTGGTTTGGTTTTTTATCAAAATACAGGAAGTAATTTTCAGAGATGCTCAGCTTCAGAGTTTCACCCTGAAAACGTGAATGGCTCCAGGAGTGTTGGGTGTCTGTGACAGTTCTGTATTATTGGCATTCTGTACTGAAATGAGGGCCTGGCTCTGCCACGTGCTGTAAAACATGCAGTTACACATGCCTGAGCTTACAGTGCAGGAGTTAAGACAAAAGGAACAGAAAGAGGTATTGCTTCTTACAGGGAGAAGCTGATGGACAGAAGGAGGGTTTGTAAAATGACAAATCAAAGCAGAAGACACAGCTCCATCCTGATTTCAGAGTTCAGAAGAAAGACAGGTACTTTCAAGTACAACAATAACAACCCTGTTGTCTGAATAAAGCTTAGAGCAGACATACTAAAAACTGACAGAAAAACTGGGCAGCTTTTATTTGAATAACTCTTAGTTGAATTTTAACAGTTTTAGGGCAGTATTTGTAAACATGATCACTGCCATATCTCAGTGCTTCAAAATGCTTTTTGACATGAACAGGTATTTTAAAGGGGGCAACTCTTCTGAAACAGCATATATTGCAGTTTCTATAATATGTTCTATGTTATAAACCATATAATTACAGTTTCTCTAGGCTGTAAGGCTCTGTATGTAACTGCTCCTTCTGGAGAGAGCAGTGCCACAGCACCGAGGGCTTTGGCACCTTCACTGCACAACAGAGAGAACCTCATCAATCTCTCCCAGAGAAAAGCTCACTGCCTGTTTCTGCAGCTCTGCAGGCAAGAGATTGCTTTTCTTTAATTCAGATCACATTAATATTAAAGCTTTAATTTTAGAAGTTCATAATAAATTTATGTTTGTGTATCATTGCAAAATTAAAATTTGCAAATTGACATTATTAATACACTGTCTTTTTTTTCTAGAAGCTTTCATCCAAGAATGAAAATCCTTTAGTTGTTAGTGTTTTGTAACACTACTTCATCTCTGTTACAAAGTGAATTCTTAACTAGTAATAAATTAACTTATTAAATAAATATAAATATATGCAGTTGTATTTCCTATATGCTAGGAATATTTCTTATTTTTAAGTAAACAAATTTATCACACACAAAAATACACACTTGATTTAGAATAATACAGTAAATATTTAATCTATTTCCCAAATATGGTGGAGGAAGTATCTGAAAAAAAAAATTCAGTATTTTAAATATTTCTGGAATTGTTACATTTTTAAATACATTTCTAGCATATGAATCAGGAAATTGCCTTTTCCACTGTATTTAAATATGTTTTATGGTAAGATGAAAGTGAATACATTTTTCCCAGTTTAGTTTCCTTAGTAAATTAAGATTTCATTTGCTGGGGATTTTTTTGTTTGGTTTTTGTTTGTTAGTTGTTTGATAGTTTGGTTTTTTTAAAGAATGGGGTTTTTAAAAAACTAAAAATTAGAATATATAGTTTTGATTAGTAGACCTCCCCAGGTAATCTGTTAATTACAATTTACATTTGCAATTAATTATTTAACTGCATCTCAATTTTGAATGAAGTTTCTGACAAAGAGCTTCCCTAAATCCACATCCATGGGTGGCACAAATGTAGCATGTTATGGATACAGAAATCCAGGGCAGCAGCCATGTCTGAGCAAAAGTTTATGCTCATATTCAGTGTGTGTATGGGTTTTATTTATTTATGGTCCTTACTGGGATATTCACTTCAGGAACCTAATCTGCTTTTTAAATCTTATTTAGGGTCCTGTTGGTGACTCCACCCATGGGCAGAACTCAGTGTGTGTTGTGGTCTCAGCACAATGCAGAATGGAATGGACACCCTGACTCTGCAGTGCTGCTGCAGAGAAGCTCTGCAGAAATTACCCAAGACAAACAGGTGATTTTGCATCTTCCAGGTATGACAGAGGGAGGAAATACAGTTCCTGGTCCTCAGACTTTATGAGAAAAGAAATGAGAAATTCCCACCATGTTCTCAGGGCAGTCTTAAGATGTATTTGGCCTTTTAGCCTTTCCTTGGAAGTAATTTGTACTGTCACCACTGGAGCAGGTCATTTCAATGCACAGGTCATCACCCTTCCCCCAGAAACAGCAGTTCTCAGTGTTCCTAGAAGGCATCATTTGGGGATTTCACAAAAACTAACTAGCTGGATTCTTTCAAGGTACAGTAGGCAGGTCCCCTGGAGACTGAATGTAATAAATCTGTCCTTAGGTGTGACTGAATGCATCTTCTTGACAGCTTGTGACCTGCTGCTGAAGTAACTTCAAAATACTTTTATTTCCTAAGGGAGACTCTACTCACACTAATTCACAAAATTTTCTAGGTTAGGAAGAAAGACTGTGGTTGACAAAGGAGTCAGTGACTGCTCAGCCTGACTACTCTCCTCAGGCATGAATTAAGGTACTAGAGCATGTGCCTGACAGCTGAGAGTCTTGAGTGAAAAACTGTTATCTTCCACTAAAACCAAAAAGTTGGCATTGAATTTTACTTGGTTGTTCTTTATATCCCCTGACTGAGGAAAAGCAGCATCTAATAAAACACTCAGTCACACTTAAAACTTAATGCCACACTTCATGGAAGATAGACATTGTGTTTTCCTTGTCCCCGTGACATTTTGCCCTTAGACAAAAATGCAGCAATGAGATAGAGAAGACATACAAGGTTATGAGAATAGCAGAAGCTGTAGCTTGAAGAAATATGAAGGAGGAAAGAAAGGGCATTTGGCAATCAGAAAAATAAAATGTTCCAGCTGGCAGATACTAAAACATCCAGATATCCTGTTAGAATCAGTATGAGTTTAGATTATTCTGTATGGGAGAAGTCATGAGAGACTTGTGTGAGAAAAACTCAGATGGCACAACTGGAATGACTGTCAGTCATGACTGGAGAAAAAGCTGAGTACAAAAAGATCTTTTATGAAGAGATGAATTTACACCATCAGGTGAAAGACGGTTGCATAAAAACATGATATAATTGCATAGATGAAATAAACTGCATAGAGAGGAATAGCTGCATTTTAGTCTGGCAAGGAAAACAAAGGTGTCAGCTGACAAACAGTAATAATAACTGTGATGGTTCACTATAACCTTGATGCCAACAGTTACTGGGCTGCAGCACCAAATGGAAAAAAACGAAACCCACATCATTTCAATATACAAAAGAGACAGAAAGCATATGAGTAACTTTACACATACACGTTGTCGCTCCAAATTCAAATGGAATTACTCATGTGAATAAAACCAGTGATATGCATGAGCCTGCACAATGTAGCCTAGATACCAGAGCAAAAGAAGGACCAACTCTTTTGTCAGAAGCCTGAAAAAATGTTTTGCAAGCTGTTTTCATATTCAGACTCCAAATGACAGGGTCCGTTTTGGACTGGAGTCCAGCCTTCTGAAAAATTCTCACTCCCAGCAGACATGGTCCAGTATTCATCCCAAGCCAGATGCACTTTGGCTTGGGTTTTGGATGGTTGCATTTCTTTGTTTGTCTTTTGCTCGATACAAGGCATTTTGTGCTTTATGCTCTTTGACTGTGGAAAAGGGAATGAGCAAAAAGAGGGTGGTGAATCTCCTAAACTGGAAGCAGGCAGCAAGAGCTCTGGCAATTCCTACCCCAGACCTCCTGCGCAGCATCGCGGAAGCGGCAGGTCCCTGTCCCCAGCGGTCTCCGGGCTGCTGAGCGCTGAGGGCGCTTCCTTCCTTCCTTTCATGCGCTTTGTTTCTTTTCGTACCTTTGAGTGAAAGAGACTTTTTGCACAGCTGCACAGAGCCCCGCTGCCCAGCAGTGCCGCGGTGTGCCCGGCCAGGCTGTGCCGGTGTTCCCTGGGCTGCTGGGCGTGCAGAGCGCTGCCCAGTGCCCCCAGCGCCTTCCCTCATCGCCCTTCTCCCCCTGCGGCCCGGGCGCTGCTCCTCGGCGGGCCCCGGGCCGGCTCTGGCTGCTGCAGGTGCCCCCTCAGGCCTCTGATCCTCACACGGCTGGGCTTGTCCCCACCGAGACGGGGGCAAGGAAAGAAAAGGAAAAACAGTCTCTGAGCCGGCATGCGGCAGGGGCGCACCAAGCCCGGCCGCGCCCGCTGCCGCCCCTCGGGCCCGCCCAAGGCACTGAGCCCGGCGGGCAGGGCTGATGCACGGCAGGGAGCAGCGCGCCCGTCCCGCACGGCCGGGAGCCCGCGGCAGCGCCCCCGCATCCCGGGGGCAGCAGCCGGGCGCCCCCGCCCTCCCCCGGCCTTACCCTCCCCTCCCCTGCCGCCGGCGAGCCCGGGGCTGGCGGAGGCGCGGCCGCTGCCCGGAGCCTGCGCGGCGCCGCCGGGGCTGCTCGGGGCCGCCCGCCCCGCGGGTGGGGACGCGCTCGGGGCCGAGCGGGCGGGTCCGGGTCCGGTCCCTGTCCCTGCGGCCGGAGCGGCGCGGAGGCTGAGCCGAGGATGCGCGGGGCGCTGCGGGCTGCGTTCCTTGCGGGAGGAACGGCTCCTAGTCCTTAACTGCCCTGTTAGTCACGGGGAAAGTGCAGAATCTCGTTTTTGGCCTGAACGCAGCCAGAAACAAACATCTCTATAACTTTTGGGGTTTTTTTCTGTGGTAGCGGCTGTGCGAAGGGGGAGGAGGGAGAGCGGTGTTTGTTGGTGTGCTCCGTTTCAAGCCCTTTCAAGTCAGCGTTTAGCCAAAGTTCCCTTTGCACGCTCCTCAGTGAGCCGCAGCCCCAGCGCTTGCTTGGACTTGTGTCCTTGGCTTTCCGATCGGCTGCCACCCGCTCGCTTTTTTGCCTGTTTCTCGTTTACAGCTACATAAGGCTTCAGAAAACAGGAATGAAACTCCCCCACCCACACGTGCATCTATTTTCCATGCTGACATATTTCCCTGCTTTGAGGCGGGGGCTAAAGCTTACCCCTAAGTATTGTTCCTAAAAAAAGAGTTACTTAGGTAGCTGCAAGTGAAGGCCGACAGATAGACCGGGTCCATAGCAATGCAAAGCATATGGGGTGGAGTATATAAATAATTCAAATACATTTGATTTTAATATATTATGTATATTATATCTGACTATAGTAGTGATGTGCACGTCTGAACTTTTTTATTCTAGAACTCAGGTGTTATTGAGAGGCCACTCCAGAGCTACAGTGCAGCACTTTCTCCAGCCTTAATTGTGTTCTCCTAGGGATTAAAAAAAACACCAACAACCCAACAACAAAACCCAAACCCCAAACCAAACCCACACATATTTCATAAAAAGAACTCTGAGATCATTAGCTAACATTTGGAAGTCCCTCAAATTAACATGCATGAAGGACTGTGGCCAAACTCCCACTGGCTCCCATAAAAGCAGTAATCAGTCCTTCAAGTAAGATTCTCCACAAAATAACACCCAGAAGCCCCTGCAGAAAGGATTGCCAATCTCACCATCTGACTAGATTAAAAACAGCAGTAACAATGTGATAATTGACAGAAGAAACTTCCCTGACAAGGAATGAATCAGTGTTTATTTTTAGCCTTTCCCCCAAAAGGCTTTATTTAAATGAAAGATTAGCTAATTATTTCCGTCGTTGTATTGTCCACACTAGAAACAGGAGGTGGCAGATCTGCACTTGTCTTTGGCTCTTCCTTTGAGGTCTGCACCCTGGAAGGGTGAGATTTTGCCAGTTGTCTTTTCATTTCCAGTCTGATCAAATATGAACGGTATGAAGGTTTCACTAAATTTAGACACCCCCCAATCAATTTTTTTTTCCTGAGTAGAAAGCCCCAGCAAAGGTGTCAGAAAATGTAAATTGTGATTGTGTCCATATCCCACCTTTGCTCAAAGCTTCTCTTGCCAGCAACTCATTAATCCTGTTGCTGCAACTGCCCACTGCAGGCTTTTGCACTGACAGAGCACTTGCATTCCAAGAAGATAATTTCCTTTCCCTGTGTACAGGAGCCAGCAGTAAAAATTTATCTGGGAGAAAGCAGCTTACCTAAGAAAAGACTAGCAAAATATTTGTTCTGTTTTACTGGTCAAATGTGAGGAAACTGTATTGATCCCGTAGACACCAAGTAATATCTGTGTTTCTGATAATAAGCATTTGGGTTCTGATTTTTTTCTCTTCTTACATTTTTTTCTGATTTTTTTAATTAATTGTGGATTGCAGCATGGGTTTAATGAACAGAAAATTAATCAAACTGCTTTAAAAATGTCTGAGGATACTTTTTTTGTTGTTATTGACTTAACTGCTGTGGAATTAAGACATGCAAATTACTCATTGTTTTATTCCACCACATATCCATAATGTGATGATGGCTACAAAGCACACAAAGAGCTGATTTACCAGTCTCTCCCCTTCTGTGTCTCAAAGCAATTGTACCACACAAAATTCATAAGTCAAATCACATTAATTTTAGTCCTGGAGAATAAATCTCATTTTCAGCATTTGAGTCTTTATTCTTCAGTGCAAAATGTTTGTGTATATTTTTTTCCACACTTGTTAATATTTCATACAATTTCAAATATTACTACTTTGGCTAGACCAATTGTAGGTAAAATAGTTTAATTGTACTAATTTAGTGAGTACTTTTTCATTCTTGAACAGAGTGAAATATGAAGTAGAAGTAAATGACCACAAAAACATGAAATTCTCAGTTTTATGTGCACCCACTGATCTCTTTCAGAAATTAGAGGGAGAAACTCTACTGTTGTGTTGCTCTTAGGAGCAGCCTGAACCTTCAGCATCTCATTTCACATGTTACTGCAAAAGGTGCATCAAAATGGAATTTTTCCTAGAAAGAAAAGGATTATTTTTCCTGTTTCTGCATCTCCTAAAGAGACCTGGCAGAAAGGGCTGCTCATTGGGATTGCAAGTATTAACAGCAGTGGTGCCTCCACAACCCCAGATAACTCAATTCCTGTTCAGAAGTAGGATGCCTGTAATGCCAATGGGAACATTGTATGAAATTATTTAATCTGTGGGCAATCAGGCCAAACAAATCCATGAATCATTCATAATCATTCCTACACATCTGCATTGCAAGAGATACAGTTAAGTACAAGGGAAAACATTACAGATGGGGGGAGGGTAAAACAGAGAATAAGGTAGATCAGTACATCTGGCATGAAATACATGGGCTTGTAACCAGAATTTATTTTATTTGCTACCGGCCAAGTCCAAAAAGTAAGTGGTTAGAGCAGAATTTGAGCTCCTATGTCTAAAACAGAGATAGTGGAAAAACCCCAGTGAGCTGTGTCTGACCTTGCATCACGCCTAGATTCCCAAACCACATTTCCTGTTTATACAGGAGCAATATTCTGCTGTATAGAGCCTCTCTGTGTGCCTAGATCTGCACCAGTTCAACAGGGCTGGGCAGCTTGGCACCCTTTCATATCTCGGCTCAATCAGGAACTAAAAGCTTTGTGTTGCTTCATTCAGTTCCCCAGAGAGGCTCAGTTCAAGAGGTAATCCTCAAACCTCTCTAAAGGATGCCAATCAGACTGAGTCTTGACAACTGGAGCTGTACCTGTTCCCGCTGAAAGACATTTCTGTGATCTACTAGAGCAGGTAGAGCATTTATCCAGGAGGTGGAAGGTCTGAGCTCAGGGCCTGTTCTTTGCAGATCAGAGGTACCAGCAGCCATATTGATGTCTGGGTAAGTATTCACATGAAACCAGCCTCAAAGCTTGATCACTCACAGTCTCAGCTCCATCCCCTGCACAGGGCACTCCAGGGCAGGTGGTGAAGCTCTGTACAAGGATGCTTAAATGAGCACTGGTGTGTTCCTCTCAGATCTGACTAATGCCATGCCAGCAGAGGGGGCTGAAAAGTAGCAGAGAGGGTGGTGGTAGTACCTCTGAATATGGCTGTGCCAGGGGCCTCCCCCTTCAGCATGTTGCTGCTGTTAAGGAAGCAAAAATCTACATACATCTAAACTATTTCAATATGGAAAGCTGATTTTTTTTTTTTTTAAAGAGATAAGTTATCAATTTTTAACAGAAAGGTTCCTCTCAGCCTAGCAATAGCTACTCAGGAGTTTGAATTTGCAGCCAGCAGGTTGGTAGATATAAGCAGCACTGGCTGCTGGTCAACTCTCTGGGAATGCCTTCAGTGAATTCAGGTTTGGGAATTACCACTGGATGGCAATCGTGTGCCACAGAGGCTGTAACCACCTGTGATTTTATTTGGCTGCAAACACAGCCGTTTCTTAAAGGCTTCCACTTCTCCCAAACACCATCATAAAGGTACTCCATGTAGGGCATTTAGTTTAATTTAGAGTTGCACCAGCATAGCTGGGACAAGAATATGAACCAGATGTTGAGAAGTGATATTTTGACTGTTAATTCAATTATTAAAGTTTTTGAACAATTTATGAGACATAAATACAAGGAGCAAGAGCAGAGGCTCTGGCCATGAAAGACCAAGAGCACCCAGCATCAGTTCTTCTGTGTTATTACAATCTACATTAAATTCTAATCACCAACCTTTAATGCCTTGTTACAAGCCAGTGGTTTTGCCCTTAAGACTGCTGTATTATACAGTATTTAAAGGTACAAAGAATTTCTACTATGGCTGGCTTAAAACAAGAAGTTATCTTAATTCTGAAAGTCAACATTTGAAGTCTTTGTTTTAAAGTTTCCAGTCTATGTATTTAAAATGTTTGGAGAGTGTTTCAATAATTTCTAATCCCAAATATTATGTTTTTATTTTGAAATATTTGAATAATGGCTCATTTTTTTCACATAGAATAATCATTCTGTAAGTCAACATTTTTTTCAGAAAGTATTTAGGTTTTTTGAAAAGGAATCAATTTTGGACTAAATCTGCATTGTTAAAAAGTGGTGGTTTTTTCAGCTCTCTAGTGGAATAGAATCCTATTCCCAATAACTCTTTAGTAAAGATAACCCATTTGGTTTAATGTTCTCTGTGCTTGTTGTGTATCAATGGGGTGTATGGGAGAACACCAGGAAATTACTGCAAGTACTTTTGAACATCAGGGAAATATCTTCCTTAAATTTGTGGTTCTGCTCCTTTTCTGTTGGTACTGATGGTGACACCTCTTTCCCACTAAGAGCTTCAGTTCCCCAACCCCAGACTGCACAGTACTCTGAACATGAGGAATATCTGACAAGTTCAAGAACTCCTTCAGTAAAGTCATCTTCCCTACCTTCACTTTCACCAAAACTATCACGAGAGCTGGTAACCAATTTAAGCTGAGGTGTTTTCTATTTTGGGGCTGGTAGCATATCTCTGGTTTCAGCCAGGGAAGGAAGTGCTCAGAGTTTGATCACAGCCAGATCTTGTGATTTACTTGGCATAACTGGAAGAAGGAAACTATGTAAATATGGG